ATTCCAGCCCCAGCTCCACCATAGCCATAACCCGGACCGCGCAATCCAGCCCCAGCTCCACCATAGCCGTTACCTTGGCCATACATCCCAGCACCGTCTCCACCATAGCGATTACCTTGACCATACACCCCAGCACCCACTCCGCCATAGCGGTTACCTTGACCATACATCCCAGCTCCAACTCCAGCTCCATGGCCATGGCCATAGCCATAGCCCGTTGGAGCTCCGATGTAGCCGAATGTCTGAGCAGCCTCTTTTTCAGCAGATATACCAGTTGATAGAGCCACAATGGCGAGACACAGAGAAGTGATATTGGTACTTTTCATAGTAATTGATTGTTTTTTCGTAGACAGCCTTTGAACTGTGGATGTGGTTTCGAAAGAGGAAATTTAAGAATGAGCTTTCAGAATGAACGCTGTTGGATCAGCGACTGTGACCTCGAAGTAGCTTGCTCACAGGTTGACTCTCTGCCAGATTACCAAACTGGAGAAAAATGAAACATCTGGTTTGACGTTCGCCATTTGATTACCACATTCTTGAGTAGTTCAGATAGCTGGTAAACAGATAGAATGTTTGCCACACAGAACGAGTGACAAACTTTGCGTTTTTAGCTTCAACCATAGGCTTATGAATGAGAGATTTGGATCCAGCTAACGATTACTCACCAGCAGTACTGTTTACCCATTCTAAGTCAAGTATTCTTTCGGTGTGGTATCAATCCTATAATTTCGCAGGCGTCGGAGTTTATAAAATTACATGTTCTCTTTCGTACTTACAATCGAATCAACTTTTGCTCCATGATTTTCAGCCACTTATTTTTCATCTCACGGCTATAACTTTTCTTCAACAGGACGGATCAAGCTATTTCAGAATGTAAAGTTCGGAATAATCGAAGAGGAAATCGAGGTTGATATTCAACCATACGACACTACCTGCCTGTTTGTAGCTCGGCTATGCGCGAACAAAGCACAAGAGGCTGTATTGATACGGCCAGGATTCGAAGTGAGCATGCTCAATTGGAGTTTGATATAATTGCAGCGCACAATCGCAAGTGTCGGTATCACTACGAAGTAAAGTTCATCAGGTAAAAATTGTCTATCAACAATCAATGGCTATCTTGATGGTATCAGATATACGAGTGAACGAGTTTGGTGAAGTGAATCACTTCTCACCGAAAACTCCGTTAGTATAAAATTATTATTGTAAAAGTATTGCATTTGCGTGAAGTCAATTGCGAAGAAGTTCTTCAGAGTGCGATGAGACTTGCTGTATCGCCTCAGTGCTCAAAGTTTAATCAGATGTTCCAATCGAGTCTATTGGAACAAATTTGTCTGGAGTACTCGTAGTTAGCTGGATCCAAAGTTCTCAGATGTAAGCCTATGCCTGGACTGATAATGAAGGGATTGTTACTCGTTTCATGTGGCAAACATTCTATCTGTTTACCAGCTAATATGCATGTGGTAACCGAATAGCGAACATTAAATCATAACTTTTCAGTTAGGTAATATGGCAGAGTTGATCTTTGAGCTAGAAAA